TCCTGCCACCATTTCCTGAAAAACCGCCCCTCTTTTCCTTTCATCTTTTGCTAAACGCTCGGGAGTGGGCCTATATCCAATCGATCGGGTATTCGTACCACGTTCACTACTCAGCCCGCAAGGACGGCCAAACGTGAGAGGTGTGTGCGCGCGCGCGCGCGCGTGTGTGTGTGTGGAGAAAGGAGAGAGAGCGCGCAAGGGGGTGGAAATATTCGCGCCAGCGCTATGCCAATCGCTGAGGCTATAGATGAATAAAATATACGAGTGGTGGGAGCAGTGCCTCAGCCGCCTCTGCGCTCCCAGTTTGGCCAACACAGCGGGGGAGAGGCGCCAACGGCTGGGGTTGTGCGGGGCGTGGCCGGGCGGGGCCGGGCCACCTGCAGCTGCAGCTCGAGCGCATTCCTGGCCGCTGCATTTCGGTGCACAGCTGGGGAGCGGATGCTTCAGGGAGCAGGAGGCAGTGCGCTGAAAGCATACAGAACTGAAAAATATATATATTTCCCTCCCGCGCCGAGAGAGGAAAACATCGTCACTGGGAATTTCCCCGTAAGACGAGACGAAATTGTTTTGCACCTATTGAAGGGTGTCAATCATACTTTAAAGTCGTTAAAGTCACAAACGTTTCGTGAGGAGTGTGTTCTGGACCGTGTAAAATGACTCTGAATGGGCATTCACAACTTTTGTGCGGCACTCGGTTCTACCCTTAATATTTTTACCTTTTTAGTAATGCCCTTACTTCAATTAGACTGGCCGCTCGAAAAGAAAACCGCCAATTTTCCGCCGTGGAAACACCTAATTGGAGTGTGTGGCTGGCAACGTTAGTGCGGGCGGCGCGGGCGCTGGGATAGACTGGGGAATGACGAGCTGCGGGGGAGCTAGAGACGGAGCGTGGAGCAGGGTTGTGGCAAACACACGCACACACACACACACTCGCGGGCGAGCTTAACGGAGCGGGTAACAACTGGGTGGTACCGGCTGGCGCCGGCCCTGGCGCGGTGGCCACAGGGACAGCCATGGGGGACCAGGTAGGGACAATGCGCAGCGGCAGTGGCTACCGAGCGCGGCGGGTGCTTTGTCATGAAGGGAAGTGGGGCAGAGAGAGAGAGAGAGAGAGAGAGAGAGAGAGAGAGAGAGAGAGAGAGAGAGAGAGCACGCGCTTACACACACCATGGTAGTCTTTGTAGGCGCACTTAATTGGCTCCAAAAGCAGCGGGTGCTCCCGGTTTGTGTATATGTGATCCCCCCCCCCCTCCCGTAGCCCCCCTACTTTCGTGTGACGCCGCCACATAAGCTCCCTCCTCTCATGTACCTCTATGCGGAATAGCAGCGTATAGTTTGTTAAACAGCATTTAACAAACTAATTTCAATGTGAAAAGAATCAGAACCCTACTCGAGACATTCTTCGTGCCGTGGTCAAACAGTCGGCAGGTGGAGTCAATGTTTCCTGTATTGATTTCAATCACAGAACGAGCCACATCAGTCACATTCACTATGTAGGATTTGGCGGCCACTTTCCTTGCCCAGTTCTTAAAAAGAAAACCGATTCCAACGCAAACGCTTTTGTGAACAAATTGGTTGGGTGTTAACTGTTATCAGCTGCCGTGGCCTTGCCCTTGATGTAACTCAATGCCATCACAGTCAGCCCAGAGGGAGCCCAGACCCGCCCCTCTCAGAC